TACCCAGTTCCAAAGTCGCTTTCACATATCAGGCATCTTTACAGCAGCACCACACTCTACCAGTACCAATTTACTGTATTAGTCCATTTTCATGCTGCTGATAAAGAATACCCAAGACTGGGTAATTTATAAAGGAAAGAAGTTTAATTGACTCACAGTTCGACATGGCCGGGGAGGTATCACAACTGTGGTGGAAGACAAAGGAAAAACAAAGGGATGTCTTACATGGCAGCCAGCAAAGAGAGAGAATGAGAACCAAGTGAAAGGGGTTTCCTGTTGTAAAACCATCAGATCTCATGAGACTTATTCACTATCATGAAAACAGTATGGAGGAAACTGCCCCCAGTTATTCAATTATCTCCCACCAGCTCCCTCCCACAACACATGGGAATTATGGGAGCTACAATTTAAGATGAGATTTGTGGGGGAACACAGCCAAACCATGTCATGCCCTCTACAGCTAAGAGTATTTGGTCCATGGCTAAAGGATAGATAATTGCTAACTCATATAAGTTTGAGGTATTACAGTGATTCTTTTTCTAATTATGAGGAAGTAAAAATGAATTACTTAAACATATGAACATTTTTTTCCTCATAAAGGAAACCTTGTTTGCACATATATATACTCAAATAAAAATGTGCTGGAGGCAATATGAAAATAACCATATTGAATTTCTTGCCTGTTGGGAAGGGACTGTTAACTCATTGCACTGGAACTATTTTTTTTGTAATTAGAATTCAGTAAATTATTTTCATTGACTTAATATTTTAACCTAGATGCCATAAGCTATAGTAAGTAACACATGTAAGAGAAATGTTGCCTCAGCTCTTAACTATAGATTTTAAATTGGACAATTCAAATGGGAAATCTCAGTGGCACTATAGAGTGTTTTTAAAAATTACATTTGGAAAGTTGGGTTACATTTTAAAATAAGGGCATAGTCTCAGTGCTGATGGACCACACATTCCATGGTTTGCTAAGAGAGTAAGTTACATCTTCAGTTTTATAACCATAATTTACAAAATCCAAGCCACCGCCTCAGGGTACTTTTTGATGAAATATTGACTTTAAAGAAGTATAAGTTCACCTCGTTGGTAAATACATCATGTTGTAAAAACTGTGAGGTTCATTTTCTTTGTATTGCTGTACAATTTTATATTTTGCAAACATCTCTTACAGTTCTTTTAATGTGTCTATGGTATTTTTCCCATTTTTATTTATCACACATGTTGGTGAGTTTTTCCTTTTTTCTCTATGAAATTATCAGATTGTTTTATTGTTTCTCTTTTTGTTTATAGTGCCTTCACTGGTCTTTTTATTTTTAGTAATTCAGTTCTCCTTTGAGCTGCTTCCAGCACAATCTGCATTAATGTGATAGTTCTAGTTTTCTTCTCTTTTCAGTATCTTTCCTATGCTCTGCTAGGTCTCATTCCCCTGAGCCCTTGTTCTTGATAATTTCAGGAGCTTCTTTCTGTTAATAGTGGCACCATTTTTCTGATGAGTGCTCCCCATCTGCTGTTTGAAGTTCTCTATTCCTGCTTTTGCTGCTGATGTTATAGTACTTCCTTCTCCTCCCTTTGCTCTTTTTGATTTATCTCTTCCTTCCTCTTCTTCTTCTTCACCTTTTTCCTCTTCCCCTACATCTTCTCCATCATCTCTTTGTCCTCCTCCTTGTACTCTTCCTTCTGCCCCTTCTCTTCCTCCTGTCTTTTCTTCTTCACTTTGTTATTATTATTTACCATCTTTGAGTGAAATGTATTCTTTTCGGGTCAACTATTTGCAGATTTGTACCACAGGGCAATCAGAGCAGTAGTATTCCAAGCTATCTAGAGTTGTCCTTGGTTTATTATGAGGGTCCTATGAAGTGGTGTGTGAGTGTGTGTGTGTGCGTGTGTGTATGCGTGTATGCCTTGACTTTTTCCTTACTTTTGTAGGGCCTCTTATAATTCAATGTCTATTATCTACCTAGCCTCTTGGCATCTTGCCTCATTCCTCTTTGATATTTACAGCATTTGGCAGCCCTTTCTCATATAGTTTTGATTTGAGATTACAGATTTTCACTTGGATGTGTGATTGCATTTCTTTTTCTTACCCTCCTCATTTTGAGGTGATAATTTCTGAAAGAGCTAAAACTTTACTATGCTATCTTAAATCCAACATCACAATGCCTTTCTCACATGTTATATTTGTGTCTTCCTCCTCTGAGAAAGAAGAATATACGTTGCTGTGCTTTGTTCAACCTGATCCAAACATTTCCTTTTTCTCTCTGAGAAGACTCACTTGAGATATTACCTAAATGTCTTTGGAAGCTCTTGCACTGACAGGTGCCATCTTGTCTGAACTTCCAATACAGATGGGGCCCTTGTTTCTTTTGACTGGTTTGCTGCCTACATATAGCTACCCCCAAATGTATAACAACACACATAAATGGAAGTTTTGAACTCACTCATGTAAAGTATAGGACTCATGTTTCTTGATTGTCAGGTGGTTCTATGATAAGCAATGATTTTAGACCACACTCTGCCATCTACCTGGCTTCCAAAGTGCTTGTCTACATCAAACCACTAAATCAGGGAAAGCATGGAGAAGTAGGCATAAGAGATGTTGTAGGCCTGAACTGTTGGACTGTGGCAGAAATGCATCCCTTCTCTTCTTCTGTTATTGAGCACTAACTGGCAGTGATTCTAGGCAATGGAGTCTAGCTGTGTAGACAGGAAATGGAGGAGGAGAAGAATAGGGGTTTGGTTAACAGCTACTTGCCTAATTGCTCTCTTTAGTTTGTCTGTCATAAATGTCTGAGTGACCAAAGGAACTTGAGTGTTTCTAACCAAATTAGTCTTCTCATTTATTCAACAGATATTCATTATCTTCCTTCTGCATGCCAACTACATGACTTTATCAGTTGGAGTTATCTTAACCCTACTGCAGGAATGATATTTAATTTTCTGAGCTGTCCTGGAAGAAAAAAATGAGTGATTTTTAAAAATCCTTTGTGTAAATAGAGAATTTTGCCCTCTTTTGAAAATGTTGACCTCTTCAATAAAGAGGAAAGTGTATGAATAATTTTAAGCTATAGCTATAGAGTCATACAGTATGGTGTTATCACTCAAGTTGGATTCATCAGTAGAAGTTTATTCCTCTACATTATTATCAGCACTGTTTTTTTTTCCAATTCATAAGTATATCTGCTTTCCAAAGGGAATTCAATTACCTCTGTTTTAAAAATGAACTTTTATTAGTTGAGTCTACATAGCTCAATTTAATACAAAGCATGTAAATTATGTGTATATTTGGGTATGGACAAGTTCATGGAATTAGAGTTATTTAGTATCAGGTGATTGTTCAGTAATGAAATCCAAATTGGTGTTTATACTTTAATAGCCAAATGGAGAGTGTTCACACCCTCCCCATTAAAATGTACTGACAGAACAGTTTGTATCCCTGCTACATGGGAATAAAAAAGGTTTTATTTGTTTTAGCTGAACTATCCCACCAAACCATCTACATCACTAGAATTTATGTTATAAATACACTTCCTTTTCTACATATCACCTAGGTAGAAATCACTCAGGAGGAAATCATTTTTATCATGCCACTTGAGAGAGTAGTTTTCAGTAGAGCGTACTTAAATAAAGAAGCCATTCGTCCCCTGGGGTGTCGATATAGGAAGAGGGTGCAGAAGGAACTGAGCCACTTAGGGACTATTCCTGAAACCCTTGGATGTCCCCAGCTCCCATTGTGACCCCACTGTTGAATTTCCTTAGACACACACTCCTTTTCCGTCCTTTCAGTTAATGCTGCATTGAGCCAACATGTGTTCTCTTCGGTAGCATGCCTTAGAAGGAAGAATCATCCAGTTTTGAACCAGGCCTGGTTGCAGGTTGTTACTATCCTTTATTTGCTATTAAATTAATTTATTGACAGTACTTATTACAATCAGAATGTATTAGGTGAACAAATTCACTAAAAGTTTCTTGAATCTTGACCTTAAATATTAGAGCCACCTGTTGGGAAACAACAGTTCATTTTATTTATTTACATGCATTTTTCTCTTTCATCCTTATAACCCTATGAGGTAGAGATTACTATCCCACATTTAACAAGTGATAAAAACTGAAATGCGTGGAAAGAAAATAACTTACCTATGATCTATCTCACATCTAGTAGGAGAAAGAGATTCAAGCACAAGTCAGTAGCTATTATCCTGAGCCAGCAAAATGAATTAGCACAGCTTCACTACTATAAGAAGGGTGACATATTTTTTTTCCTTTCCTCTAGGGGTATGACAAGTATTAAGCCTCAGGCCCAAGTTATTAGAAAACATCTCCATCATTATTTAGACTTTTCATAGTACTTACTTATTATGGTGATGCTTTTTGGCAAGATTGAGAATATATTGGTCAGACAATTATGTTTTATTGTTGTCTAACTTCATAGACACAAGCAATTATTTATTCTGACTCTTTTTGGTCCACTTTTCATTATGGACTAACCTCTGAGGTTAAGAACCCAGAAGCACTTGCTCCAAGTGTGTGTGACTTTAAGTAGCACTAGGGGGATCAGTCTGAATCAGTCCAGTTTGAATTTTAGTTTCAAACACTGCCCACATCTAGGAGGAGTTCACTAGCTAGACAAAGACCACAGGTTGACCCAGGATGACTTAGGAAAACATAGAAATTCTGCCTGCAGTGCTGGCTGCAGGCCACAAGACATATTTCTTGTTGCCTTATTTTCCATGGAGGTCATAGTACTACCCAATGAGGCTTTCTTTATAGCAGCATGAGCTTTGTAGTTGGATGGAACTATTGGATCCCAGAGTGCTTCAGCCTTTTCTTGTCTTTTATGTAGAGAAGAAGTCTCCATAAAGACTTATTGTATAATGTAATTATAATAATTAAAATAAAGACCAGTGGCCTCCGTGGCAGCAGAAGTCTCTAAATGAAATCTGGGTGACCCAGCCTACTGTTCCTTAATTTACTATGACCTTTTATTTTTCCAGGGTGACAGAGAAGCAGAACTGGGGCTACCTTTTTCTCCACTGTGTGACCGAAAGTCCACTATGGTTGCTCAGTCACAAGTAGGTACGTATTTGCCAGCTCTTTGGTTAGAAGGAAGCACCAAAGCAGGAAGCCTGTAGAAGTAAGCACAGATGCTCTGAGCAGTTCTTTGACTGGGAAACTGGCTCCATTCTGCCGTGTTGTGCTCATGGCTCTGCCTGATTGGATTTATGGAACCACTCTGTCCATTCTTCTCCCTGGAATGTGGCTGTTCATGGGAGAATTGGACAATGATACTCTTGGTGTCTCTGTCATTCCCTGTCAAGAGAAAGAGGGGGTCCCAACTCTCCAAGGAGATAATAAATGTCATTGGCAGGAAGCCCATTCTACTCCATCCCTCCATTCTGCGTGTAGCACTGTAAGCTGCCAAGGCATTTCTACTCACTGATGCTTCTTCTAGCCCCATTTTCAGGACAGCCTCGTTTCCTGGTTGAATCTACTTCCATGAATGGATCTTTCAAAATATTTTCTTCCTTCTTTCCTGTCTTCCTTCCTTTCTTTTCTTTAAAGCACTTTTTTTTTTTAGGTAAGGATAACTTTTGAATTGCTGATAACCATAATATATGCATTTAAAAAATCTTCATCTATGGGAGAGGGCACCAGTGCCCTATCTGAATTAAACGTTGTCAGTGATCTCCACCTTTGAAAAGTCTGAAATCATTTAAGAAAATTCAATAAGAATTATGGATTTTTCTACTTTTGTTTTGAGTGCTTATGCTTTTTAAATAATATATATTGAGTCTTCATATATTGGGCACTGCTAGACATGGTAATAGATGTTATAGGAACAAAGACAAATTATACGTGGTACTTGCTCTCAAACACATTAAACCAGTATTGAGTGATGGGCAAAATGTTACAAAAACAAAAATCTATTAGAATATTATAATGCTAAGGTAGACTTTTGTACATAGTACAATAAGGTACACAACAGAGTGTGTGAGCCATTAGGTTTATTAAGGGGTAATATTTGAGTTGAGTCCCAAGAAGTGCGTAGGCATTGTTTGGGCAAATGGTGATCTGTGTTGGAGGTGAGCTAGGGGTGGGTAGAAGGTCATTCCAGGCAGAGAATGTAGCATATACAAAGCAGGGAAACTTAAAACTGCCTAGTATGGTCAGCAAATTCTAAACATTTCCATATGGCAAGAACATTGGGTAGGGAGTAGGATGTAGTGAGGGACGTATCAAGCCCAGATTTTATGTAGTGTTAATAATAGCATGTGTTTATACTTTCTTGTAGGAAATGAGGGCATATCTAAAGAATTTTAAGTGAGGTTAAAAATATATAAATTTATGTTTTAGCCTGTGGGCTTAATCTGGCCCACCACCTGTTCTTGTAAATAAAGTTTTATTACAACACAGCTAAGTGCATTCATTTACATATTGTCTATGACTGCTTTTGCACTTCAGTGGCAGAGTTAAGTGGTTTTGATAGAGATGATATGGCCTGCAAAGTCTAAAATAACTATCTGGTCCTTTACAGATAAAGTTTGCCAACCCTGTTTTTAGAAGATTTCTTTGCCAGTAGCATGGAGGATTAATTGGAGGATTTTCAGTAAGATTAGAGGCAAGGAAACCAGTTGGGTGCCTCCTACAGGATTACAAAGAAGAGATGATGAATATCAGAACTAAGGTAGTAACAGAGCCTCTCCAGAAGAGAGGTGGCACATAAGGTGTCAAGGATTTGACTGAATGCAAAGCTGAGATAAAGGCAGAACTCTAGATTAAGTGGTTGGACTATGGTTCCATTTACAAAGGTTGTGGGGAATCTTATGAGTTAGTTCTGGTTTGGACATGTTGAGCTTAGTTTGTCAGGAAAAAAAAGGCAAAAGTAGTGTCATCAAATACTTTAGTTTCAGCTTAAAACTACACTATAATTAATCGTAATACACAATACATACTACACATATACAATTACAACACTATATTAGCCATAATACACATTTGGCTATCACTGTTTCCTTGTCAGTCAGGACACTATTGATATTTGGTTGAGACAGTTCTTGTTTTGTCAATTACATTGTAGGACTTTTAACATCCTTTATGCTCAGCATTAATGCCAGCTTTACTTCTACCTGGACCATTGTGAAAACTAAATATGCATTCATACATTTCCAGATACGACCTTCAAAGGAGAATGGGCATTTCCTCTGGTTGATATTTAGTTTCCTTCCAGTTTTCATGTGGCTGTGTAGGGAATTACCACCATCCCCACTAGCTTCAGCTCCTAGTTTTTCTCCTGATTGTCACAGAATATTTGGGTGTCTGAGCTGTTAGGACAATCTCTGTAGCCCAACTTCAGCCATCTCTCTAGCATGGTGATCTCACAAAGGTATAGTTCTAGGTCTGAGCCCTTTTTCACTTTCCAATTCTGTTTCTTCCAACTCTGTTTGCCCCCTCCCATCTAGATGCACCCCCTGTACCTGAAAGTCTAGCATTTATGAACCAAAGCCCATTGTCATTTCTTGGTCACATTCTCTTTCCATTTTCTGTTTTCCCTGCTTTGTTGTTGGAGTGTCTTTGGCAGATCCCATACAGAGGCAGTACCACCTCCTGCTGTACGGGTATCTGTGCCTGCTTTGCATTTCCACTTTATAGTGGCACTGGTTCCAGCCTTCTTTATCTTTTTTTTTTTGAGCAATTGCAATAGTTTCTAAATGATTTTCTCATCCTTCTCCCTTCCTGCTTTCTTCATTATTATCTTGCCAGATTAACTTTCCAAAGAACATTTAAAAACTCTTATGACAATGCTGCTCAAACATCTCCAGGAGCCTCCCGTGTCCACCTAAGTCCCAACCCTCTATCTGAATACTTAGAAGCCTCCCTTCCTAGAGCTGTCAATAACTTGCCTTCCCAAGCTTTCCTTCCACAAATCCAAAAGAATCCCTACTCCCTAGTCAGTCCCCAGACACATCTTACACCCTCCCATCTCTGTCACTTGGCTTTTTCCATTCCCACTGCCCAGAGTGAATAGCCACATCTTCCTCTCCACCCATTCTTAAGGGCTCAGCTCAAATGTCACAACTTCAGGCAGGTTGTGTTGTTCGGTCTTAGTCTTTTACAGAGTTCCTATCACAGTGCTTGTTCTGTAGTGGGTGTTGAGTATTTCATAGGTACTTTATTGAACTGTATCCTGAAAAGTCATAGGAAGTTATGTAGGAGAAATGAAACTGACATGTAGTATTCAAATCAAGGAATATATAAAGTGAATAAGATCAACCCATTCTCTTGTAATCTGATCTGGAGCTTCTAGATCAGTTTCTTCTGGAAAGTATGGAAAGGTCCAAGGTAATATGTGGTTCCTCTGAAGCATTGCCGTTTCCCTTCAGGTTTCATTGATTTCATCGTGGAACCCACCTTCACTGTGCTTACGGACATGACCGAGAAGATTGTGAGTCCATTAATTGATGAAACCTCTCAAACTGGTGGGACAGGACAGAGACGTTCAAGGTTAGTGGGGAAGCCTGAGGGCTGGGGGTGAGGTTGGCCTGTCCTTGAGGATAGAATTCTTCTTTTGCTGGGGATGGGGATGGTATGTCATAATGACATTTGCCTTAGCTCCTTCTCATAAAAATTTGTCTGCCTCTTTCCTTTTCTCAGAGGAGTTAACATTGTATTATCCGTACTCTCTAAGCTAAACTGTTAAGAGGTGCCCAAGGTCTAAATCATAACCAGCAGGAACCTGGTGCTGCCCCTCCACCACCCCATTTGGTGCATGTTTACCTGCTGTGCCCAGACAATCCTTGCTCATGTAATACTCCACAAAGACATTACCACTCCTCGAGAGTACTTACAAAGAAATGAAACTGACATTCATTTCAAGGTTTGCACAAAGAATGAAGTAGAGAAAAAGAATCGAAAGCTTGAAATCACCTTCTACCACCGCATCATTATATTAAGGGTAGATCAGTAAAGAGTACAGGCTCTAGAGTTAGAATGCCAGAGTTAAAAACTCCTGACCTCATCACTTACTAGCTGTGCAATCGCAGGCAAATTGTTTCACTTACCCCATCTGAGAAAACGTGGATTATAATACTCAGAGGTGGCTGGGAAGATTAAATAAGATATTTAATCTATGTTAAATCTTACAACAGGGTCTAGAACAGAGGAAGTGCTAGCTACAATAAAGTCTTTATTAGATATACTACTACTATTACTACTACTATTAATCTCCTTGTTCATGTAAAACATTGGGCTTTGTCATAAAGGAGGAAGAAGAGAAATGGAATGAATAGGAAAAGGAGAAGCAAAGAGCAGGAAAAGGAGTAAAGAAAGACAGGGGGACCCCAGGGATGCTCCAGATGGATAGACCCTCTTAAGTTTGCTAACAAGGAGGACAGAGCCCCTGGCAGAGTCCCCATGGCCCCACAGCTCTTCAGACAGTGACTGAAATATATTCTGCTTGTCTAGTCCATCATGAATTTGTGTTCCTACCAGTCATTGCTTTAACCACTTGGTAGCAGTATTACTTCTTTGAGATTTTCCAGAAAGATGGTACTTTCTAATATTTACAAAGTTACCCATAAGGTCTTTTGCATGACCTAGTCTCTCACTATCTCCATGCTGTCCACATTCCCATCTTCTTCCAGCGATTTAAGGAAATTATCACTTTCCCTGGATTTTGGTATACTGGGATCAGAAAGACCCTTGCAGGGGAATGGTAGAGCTGGAAAGAAAGAGGAGCAAGTTGCTAGGTAACTTGGAAAAGTGGTCAGTGTGGAAGCAGATGGGTGAACTGCAGAATTAAGTGGATGTCCCAGTTCAAATTAGTCAGTTTCAGAGAACAGAGCAGAGAAAATTCACATGAGCGGGTTCTGGTTATTGGGGAAAGAGAAGAGGCCAAATAGCAAGGAAGAAATATGAAGAATATAGAGACTCTTGAGACTGCAATGTTGATATTTTTCCTGCTGAAAATTCAGAATTTTCCACCTGTCATATGTGGAAAATAGAATAATTATAAACCTCAGGACCCAGAAATTTCACAGCAATAACTTGATGAGTGCTAACCACTCCTCCCTGGGCTAGTTCATTGGCAGACATTTTCCAAACACTAACTCTCTTCTTTGGTATGATTTTTTTGTTTTCCAGTTTGAATAGCATCAGCTCATCAGATGCCAAGCGATCAGGTGTCAAGAGCTCTGGTTCGGAGGGAAGTGCCCCAATCAACAGTTCTGTCATTCCCATTGACTATAAGAGCTTTAAAGCTACTTGGACCGAGGTGGTGCACATCAATCGGGAGAGATGGAGGGCCAAGGTACCCAAAGGTAACATGCCACAGACCTGTCCAAGCCAATTCAGCACCCAGTTGTAAAACAAGGTTGTCTTCCCTGAGTTATGTGTGTTACAAATAAAGCACAATTGCTGAGGATGCAGATTCAAATTGCTGAATGTTAGAATCTACCATCTTTTGATCTTCATAATATCTACCAATCAATGCATGATAAAATGCAGCAGACCTGCAAGCCTCCTGACATGGTGCCCTTTATGCTGTGGCACTAAACTCCTTTTTCTGGTATGAAGACTCTACAGGAGATGGGTGTTATTATTTCTTGATTTCTGCTAAACCATCTTGTCGTTTTCACTTGATATCATGTGGCACAACTGTGAGGCTTTTATTTCTTCTTTTACCTAAGTAAAGACCTGCTAATAGCCACCTTGCCTTGGCCATTATGTTGGGATATAAGGAGCTTTAATTTTCTTACATGCATTTCTATATTCCTTTCATATTCTCAGTTTCCCTTCACTCATTGCTCAAGCCATATATATGATCTTCTAAGATGATGGTAAATTGTTGGTAAACAGAAATTCCCTGAAGTAGACAGCATCAAAACTAAAAATTGTGGCCCTTGGTACTGTCAGCAGAAAAGGGTGGAAATTTGTATGTTGTGGGAAGCTTAAATTCCTTTGTTCATGTGTGCATTTATGACTACTGAGCATGTCCTCCATGATGGGTACATTCTACATGATCATATTAGGGAGAGAGACCCTCGTGCACAGGTAGCATAAACCTGAGATAAGGGGTCTGACACTGTGATGCCTGATTTAAGGTAAGGACAAATACATGGGTGGCTCTGGGAGCCCAGTGAGGGAACTGAGCTTCCTGGAGGTGAGCCCTCAACAAGAGTCAGTTTTTGCTAACATCTATTGCATGCCTACTGTGTGCCAGGCTGTGCCGGGTACCCAGGGTACAGAGATGAGTAACAGACATCCTTGCCCTCAAAGCTCACAGTCTTGTGGCAGGGGAGGGAAAGAGACATTACTATATAGTTTCATTCAAAGGAAGAATGGAAGTTCGGTCAAAGCCCTGAAGTTGCCACCAGTACCACCAACCTAAGCCCTAGGCCTTCACATCAGACAAAAACACATTATCCTCTCCCCAAACACAACATCTCACATTTTTACCCTCCCAGTGTCAGTATACTGGGTGAGAAGGGTAGGAACAGTGGGTAAGAACATGTTCTAGCAGTGTTGGTTCCTGTACATCAGGGTGGGAGGTGGTGGTTCCTATTCTAGTGTAGGAAAGAAGCAGCCTCACTGTTGGAGTTATTCAAAGGCTTGTCCACAAAATTCTGTCCAATTTTGTGACTTGTCCATAAAATTCCATTCAAGTGGCTGCTCATTTCAGGTGAGGCAAAGGGTTTATATTTATGGCACTTTTAGGGCATAATTGAACCCTTATCATTTCAGGACAGATGTTGCACCCTGAACTGTGGAGGGAGCCAACACCTCTTCCATATTTTAAGTGCATCCTCTCCTAGTCCATTCAAATGCTTTAAACATTCGAATCCTCCCTGTTGGCAGGTATTGCAAACAGCGATGGCAGCTACTGCATCATCTGCAAAGAAACACTCTCTTATAATCAATTACACTCATTACACTTGAAAATTCAATTTCTGACAACATGCAATTTAAAGAGGTACTTCAAAATAATTTGTTTGCAATTATCTGTCTTACTAAAATTACCTTCAGAAACTAATCACCTGGAGAAGCATTTGACAGTTTCAGGAGAAAACTGGCCCTTTAAAAAGAACAGATAAACAAACAGCTAATAATTTTTAAATGCATTAGGTATGGGGATAGAGATACTGTATGTTTGAACTATTTTGGAAGCACAAAGAATTTGTCTGTAGCCCTGCTTGGGCATTTGGGAAGGCATCATGTGGCAGGACTTCTGGGATTAAGACCTGAATGAGGTTGTATTTAGAAATGGGAACAAGAAGAAAGGGCTTGGGCAAAGGCACAGAGCCTGGTGTTATGGATATTTTGTGGGAGAATAATTTGGTTGTCAGGGCACATTTCAATTAGCAGGGAAGGGGAAAGAGAATTGAGTCTTGACTTGCAAGGGTTTTTTGTTGTTGTTGTTGTTGGCAAATTCAGATAGGTTCTTTGAGGCTTACTTTGGGGATGATAATATACATCACAGAATTGAGGTGAATAGAAATAATACCTATAAACCACTGAGAAAGGAGCCTGCAAGGTTGGTACCTAAGTAGTAGCTGTTATTTATGCAAATTGGAAAAGAAGATTAGAGATTTGAATACAAAGTTAAGGTGGTGGTGAAAATACCAACTTATAACTAATATTTTATAACATTCTTAGCAGCTCAGTAATGCTGTTGACTGGTTGACTGGTGCTAATAAGAAATCTAGTTTGCATCTGTTTTCTGTTGGTGGTGGCTGTTTTGTTTGTTGCTCTTTTTTTCCAGATGACCCTGATTTCAAGAAAGGCTGTCCTCCATGGGGCACTTGAACATGTATTGTTAATAAATGCACTGGAAATGGGTCTTGGTTTTGTTAACCAACCTGATTTACAAAACTAGGTAGGCAAGAACTGATAATTATTAGGAAAGATTAAATAAATATTTTTATAGCCCTTAGAGTTAAAAATCACTATTCCCAACCAAAGATGTATGGACATAACAATTTTCAAGTCTGATCAGTATTGATTAATTTCCATTCAGTATTTAGTACTTTTTTTAACACTTATTTTCTGGTGTAACACTAATGTGTTTAGGTTACAAATGCTGAAATATAAAATACATATATAAAAGAAAATGAAAATTGCTCATTACTTCTCTAGACACATATAACTATTATTAAAATTCTGATGTAATTCTTTTTAATTTGCTTTTCTGTAAATATGTATAAGTAAAAATTTTGCCCATAAATTGGGATCATAATATAATATTGTCTTGTATTTGGCCTTTCTCTTTCTGTTTTGAGTATTTTATTCTGATACTGAATATTGTGATTTACAATATATAAAGAATTATTCATTTACATATTTTTCTCATTTTTGAGTTTTTAATGTTGAATGAAGTTTTCTGTCAGCTGGAGCACTTCTTTCACTAAAATTTCCAGGAAGCAGGAACACCTTCTAAGTTCTTAAATGTCTAGAAGCACCTTTCTTTTGTTCTTGTATAGAACTGAGATTTGAACTAGTCAAAATTCATATAGTATTTTGGGTTTTCTGGTCATTTTCTCTCTCTTTTCTGTTTTTTTCTCTCTCCTTCTCTGGTTGTAGGCATTTCAGAAAATTATATCAAGGGATAATCAGCCCAATATGATTTTTAACCGAGACCCTATAGTATCATTATTCAGGAAGACAAATAAAGAAATCAGTGTATTTCCCCAAAACTGTGCAGACATGCATTGTGGGTAGAACTGGCTCTCCACTGGGAGGAAGCAAATGTATGGATCTTGAGGGTTCTGCTCTGCCTTAACTCTTAACTGCTTACTCTTGGTTGTTTTTTATCACAAGTTCCAACACTGCAGACAGTCTGACATGGGAAGCCAAAGGAAACAGAATTGAACCTCACACCTCTTGCTTTCGACTAGTCAAGAAGCCTAGCAGATGCTAAATCTAAGACCTGAAAAGCGAATTCTCTGTGTACATCCTGTGATTGGAATCTATGAGTGTGTACAAAATAGCTGTTCTCAGCTCCTTTTTAATGTATATATATAAACCAGCTTCTGGATCCATTGATTTTTTCTTTCTTTCTTTTTTTTTTTTTTTTTTTTTTTGAGACGGAGTCTTGCTCTGTCACCCAGGCTGCAGTGCAGTGGCCCCATCTCGGCTCACTGCAAGCTCTGCATCCCGGGTTCACACCGTTCTCCAGTATACCTCAGCTTCCCAAATAGCTGGGACTACAGGCACTCGCCACCACGCCCAGCTAACTTTTTTTGTATTTTTCCAAGACATGGGTTTTTCCCGTGCCGTCTCCACGCGCTCGTCTCGATCCCTGACTCGTGCATGGGCCCGCGGGCCTGGCCTTGGGCTCCAAAGTGCTGGCGATACAGGCTCCGAGCCCTTTGCGCCCGATCTCACTGATTTCTTTCTGAACGCGGGTTTCTCCTTGTTCGTCCTCCCCACCGTCTTCTTCAGTTTCTGGTCCTTATCTAGTTAATTTCTTGCCCTTGCTGTTAGCTTTTGAATGTGGTTTGGCTCTCTGCTCCTCTCTAGTTCTTTCTAAATTGTCGACAATTGTCGATGTGTGTAGGTGTCAATTTAGCTCTGTTCTTGCTTTCCGTCTTCGTCGCATTTATGCCTATAAGGTTCCCCTTTACTCCTGCTCTTACTGTTCGAGATTCTGGTATGGCTTGCTATCTTTGTTCTCCATTGGGTTTCCAAAAACACCTCCTTATTTCTGCTTCCTCGTTGCGTTACCTCAGCCCGTAGCTTCGGACACCCGTTGTTCATTTCCTGTAGTTGCAGTGTTTCGAGTGCCGTTTCTCATCCTGCGTTCTCGTCTTGGATTGCCTGTGGTCCTTGAGAGACCCACACCGTTTTGTTGTCATTTCTGTCTCTTTTACATTGCTGCAGGTCTTTCACTTCCCCTATTGGCCCAATTCTTGGCTCAGTGCAACTGTGGTCGCTCGCGCCTTCTATTCGCTCTTTCTTCGCGGGGGACAACGAGTTCTGTAGCTGCTCCTTCGCAATTGAGGTCCCTTGGTCAGAGCTGAGTTTCAATTCTGGATACCTCTGTTAATTTTCTGTCTTCACTGGTCTGTCTACCATATTGACATGGGGTGGTTAAAGTCTCCATTATTATGTCGTGGGAGTCTAAGTCTCTTTGGTAGGTCTCTAAGGACTTGCTTTATGAATCTGGGGCTTCCCTGTATTGGGTGCATACTATATTTAATGAGATAGTTAACTCTTCCTTTGAATTGGATCCCTTTACCATTACGCTAAGGCCTTCTTTGTCTCTTTTGATGCGTTGTTGGTTTAAAGTTCTGTTTTATCAGGGACTAGGATTGCAACCCCTGCTCTTTTTTGTTTTCCATTTGCTTGGTAGATCTTCCTCCATCCCTTTATTTTGACCTATGTGTGTCTCTGCACATGAGATGGGTCTCCTGAATACAACACGTTGATGGGTCTTGACTCTTTATCCAGTTTACCAGTCTGTGTCTTTTAATTGGAGCATTTATCCCATTTACATTTAAGGTTAATATTTTTATGTGTGAATTTGATCCTGTCATTATGATGTTAGCTGGTTATTTTGCTCGTTAGTTGATGCAGTTTCTTCCTAGCATTGATGGTCTTTATAATTTGGCATGTTTTTGCAATGGCTGGTACTGGTTGTTCCTTTCCATGTTTAGTGGTTCCTTCAGGAGCTCTTTTAAGGCAGGCCTGGTGGTAACAAAATCTCTAAGCATTTGCTTGTCTGTAAAGGATTTTATTTCTCCTTCACTTATGAAGCTTAGTTTGGCTGGATATGAAATTCTGGGTTGAAAATTCTTTTCTTTAAGAATGTTGAATATTGGCCCCACTCTCTTCCAGCTTGTAAAGTTTCTGCCAAGAGATCCGCTGTTAGTCTAATGGGCTTCCCTTTGTGGGTAACCCAATCTTTCTCTCTGGCTGCCCTTAACATTTTTTCCTTCATTTCAACTTTGGTGAATCTGACAATTATGTGTCTTGAGGTTGCTCTTCTCGAAGAGTATCTTTATGGCGTTCTCTGTATTTCCTGAATTTGAATGTCGGCCTACCTCGCTAGGTTGGGGAAGTTCTCCTGGATAATATACTGAATAGTGTTTTCCAATTTGGTTCCATTCTCCCCATCACTTTAGGTACACCAAGCAGACGTAGATTTGGTCTTTTCACATAGTCCCATATTTCTTGGAAGCTTTGCTCGTTTCTTTTTAGTCTTTTTTCTCTAAATTTCTCTTCTCACTTAATTTCATTCATTTGATCTTCAATCACTGATACCCTTTCTTCCACTTGATCAAATCGGCTACTGAAGCTTGTTCTCAGTAGCCATATTTTTCACGTAATTCTCATGCCATATTTTTCAGCTCCATCAGGTCATTTAAGGACTTTTCTACACTGTTTATTCTAGTTAGCCATTTGTTTAATCTTTTTTTTCAGGTTTTTAGCTTCTTTGCAATGGGTTCGAACATCCTCCTTTAGCTCGAAGAAGTTTGTTATTACTGATCGTCTGAAGCCTTCTTCTCTCAAATCGTCAAAGTCATTCTCCATCCAGCTTTGTTCTGTTGCTGGCAAGGAGCTGCTTTCCTTTGAAGGAGAAGAGGCGCTCTGATTTTTAGAATTTTCATCTTTTCTGCTCTGGTTTCTATCCATCTTTGTGGTTTTATCTACCTTTGGTCTTTGATAATGGGGATGTACAGATGGGGTTTTGGTGTCAATGTCCTTTCTGTTTGTTAGTTTTCCTTCTAACAGTCAGGACCCTCAGCTGCAGGTCTGTTGGAGTTTGCAGAAGGTCCACTCCAGACCCTGTTTGCTGGGTATCACCAGCGAAGGCTGCAGAACAGCAACTATTGCAGAAGAGCAAATGTTGCTGCCTGATCCTTCCTCTGGAAGCTTCATCTCAGAGGGGCACCAGCCATATGAGGTGTCAGTCGGCCCCTGTGGGGGATGTCTCCCAGTTAGGCTACTCAGGGGCCAGGGACCCACCTGAGGAGGCAGTCTGTCTGTTCTCAGGTCTCAAACTCCATGCAGAAGAGAACCATTGCTCTCTTCAAAGCTGTCAGACAGGAATGTTTAAGTCTGCAGAAGTTTCTGCTGCCTTTTATTCAGCTATGCCCTGCCCCTGCAGGTGGAGTCTACAAAGGCAGGCAGGCCTCCTTGAGCTGTGGTGGGCTCCACCCAATTCGAGCTTCCTGGTTGCTTTGTTTACCTACTCAAGCCTCAGCAATGGTGGACGCCCCTCCACCAGCCTCACTGCTGCCTTGCAGTTTGATCTCAAACTGCTGTGCTACAGTGAGCGAAGTTCCATGGGTGTGGGACCCACTGAGCCAGGCGAGGGATATAATCTCCTGGTGTGCCGTTTGCTAAGGCAGTTGGAAGAGCGCAGTATTAGGGTGGGAGTGACCCCATTTTCCAGGTACCGTCTGTTACGGCTTCCCTTTGCTGGGAAAGGGAATTCCCCAACCCCTTGTGCTTCCTGGGTGTGGCAATGCCCTGCCCTGCTCTGTGGACTGCACCTGCTGTCTGACAAGCCCCAGTGAGATGAACCTGGTACCTCAGTTGGAAATGTAGAAATCACCCATCTTCTGCATTGCTCACACTGGGAGCTGCAGACTGGAGCTATTCCTATTGGCCATCTTGGAACCTGCAAAGATGCCATTTAAACCCCATCCTCAGTCACTGAAGAAGGATGAGATAAAGCCTGAGTGAATATTCCAGGAGACCTTCTGTGGTCCTGCATCCTACTGAGAATGCCATCTCACCATCTTCTTCTGCAAGAGCATTTTCACTCTGTAGTTGTACCTTTCTATAAAGGCCAGAAGACATACTTTACATGTACATAATTATGTTATTTGTGAAATCTTTCCTTACCTTTTCAATGTAAATTACAAATATATTCTTTTGGAGAGTAGAATGTCATGAAATACTGAATGGCAAACATTTAACATTTAAATCAGTGCTTCTCAATTCTGCATGTTTAAATCACCTGGAAAACATTCAAACTATCCTATTATTGCCCTTCCTTCTCCAGAATCTTATTTAATTTGTTTGGGGATGAGGCTAGGGCATTGGTTTGGATGGATGGGTGGATGGATGGATGGGTGGATGGATGGATGGATGGATGGATGGATCAATGAATGAAAGCATGATATATTAAGGAAGACATCTTAGGAAAGCAAATATAAAGGCAGGAGAAATAGACTAAACCAGATATCATAGACTTCCACAAAACACATGTCATAAAGCCTCATGATCATGTGAACCTGGACCAAATTTGAACTTTGAGCTCTTTAGCAGCTAAAACAAAGGGGAACATGATAGATGCATAGTCACTCTGGTGTCCATTAGATTAAAAACAAATAGATTATTTATGAGCACTAGCTTTTTTCCAGGACCAAGGCTAACACAAAGGAAATAAAGAAAACACCTGATAATGATGTGTGGAGCATTTTAAAACACATCTGGAGAAAAATGTAATAATGATTTTCCCAATGGAAGTTTATGGCACAGGCTGGAAGACCTTTGGAGTGAATTAAGTGCTACAGGGGATGAGTCTGTAGAACCTTGGGAGAATTGGGCTCTGTTAAGTGTCTTCTGTGTAGGATATTCTCTACAATGCAATGCCACCTCATTGCCTGCAAAGCCCTGCATGATCTGAACCCTGCTTGTCCTTGGTCATTTGACCACACCATCTGTCACTAAGCCCTTGTCAAGTTTACTTTAACCATACTCAATGTTCTTTGAGCATACCAAGCTCATTTCTACCTCATGGCCTTTGCATTTTCTAGTTCCTCTGGCTGAGATACTGTTTGTCCAGATTATTGCACGGCCAGCTCTTCAACATTTAGGACTTGGTTAAATGTCACCTTGTCAAGGAGGCCTTCCTTCTCCACCTCCTTGTCTAATGCAATCTCCCTCCCCTATGCTGATTGTATTCCAGCATATTACTCTGCTTTGGTTTTCTGCAAAGCACTTTTTACAACATGCAAGTATCTTAGTCATTTGTTTACTTAATTATGATCTCTTATTTATAAATTGACTTTCTTGCTGCTGTATTCCTCATACCTAAAACAGTGCTTAACACTACAACTGCTCAATAAATATGAGTTGGATGAGTGAACCAATATTTTCATAAATACTTAACCTATGCAATTCTGCTGTAGTTTTGAGTAAGCACAGAGCCAAGCCCTTTTATAATCAACTGGATTGGAAGTAATGCTAGCATTTTTTCATTAAAAGGAAAGACACAGACCAGGTACCTGGCCAAACTAAAGGCTACCTCTCACCTTGTGGACAGTTTGAAGACCGTGATTTTTTCATAAGGCTCAATTTCCTTGTTTTAAATTCACAGTGTCCTCAGTGTGTTTGTCTTCAATTGCTGTAGTGTCGGATATTTTCCCTTTTTGTTTTGTTTTGTAATCAATTGTTTGTGTTTAAACTCTAGGTCTTAAGCAAGCCCATAGGAAGCTGCAGTTTTTACTGTGGCTGTGGGAAAGTTTTATGATGTCTCTCAGCCTTGATTTCCACATTTGTCAAATTGAGTCACAGTAATAGTAGCTGCTGTAAGGTTGTTTTGAGGATGAAAGTAAATAATCCCCAAAAAACAGTCAGCATAATACCTGGCAGAGAGAACACACTCAATAGGAGCTATTAATAATGGTGATATTAATAATATCATTACAATATTGGTTTATTAATTATTATCCTTATTATTTTCTCCCCAACCCCTCCTCTAACTGACTATTTTCAGAATGACATCATCATGAACCTATTTTACTGGTTTCCTAAGTATACATGCCAATCTGATGAATTAAGCAAAAATGTGCCCAAACACTCAGTAAACACCTTAGATCCTCTTTGCGTATTAAAACAGGTCATTCTCCTAATGGCATTACCTCTTTTTCTCTTTTCTGTGCCTTTCCCAACTTGCTATGGATGCAGAGGAGAAGGCCAAGAAGGAAGCAGAGGAAAAGGCTCGCCTGGCCGCAGAGGAGCAGCAAAAGGAAATGGAAGCCAGAAGCCAGGCTGAAGAAGGCGCATCTGGCAAATCTGAGAAAAAGACGTCTGGAGAAGCTGAGAATCAAGTCAGTGGAACACGGATGAACAAAAGTGACATCCCTCGTGGGAAAAATTCCAAAGCTGAGAAGTCGTTAGAACAGCAACAGAATGGTGAGTAGAATTGCACTGGTGAAGGGCTGTTTTCGAGGAGTTAATGACATGATGAATGGAAACTGGCAAACGACCCCACTGATGGGGACAGCTCACAGGGCAAGGCTTTCCTGCTCATCCAGTTCCTGCTGATCTCACCTCACTGGGCCGCAGGATCCCAGCAGAAGCAGCCACCAGCTCACCTGTGACATCCTCTTCAGGGAGATTTATACCTTTCTGGCCGTTTCTAGCTGCCCTGGAGACTCTAGCCAGTGCCTGCCTGCCTGCCTGCCAGGGGGAAATTACCATTAACAACCCCAGCATAGTCCTGAGTGCAAAGTGGGTGAATGGAAAGTCATTTTCCCATATGTACCATCCCCCTATGAGGGTCAGGCCTCAGGTTTGCCTGAGCCTATTCCTGTAATAGGTATCTGTGTATCTATATGTGTACAAGTGTATACTTTAGGGGAACAAGCTGTTCCAGTTTACCTGGGACTAGGAGACACAGAGCTTTCTTTTTTAAAAACAGAAAAGCTCCAGGCAAACTGGGGTAAGCTGGTCACCATAGTGTGCATATAGTTACTGATTTCTTATATTTAATGAAACAAATATCGATTAACAACTATGTGCCAAGCACCGTGCTTAGCACCAGGGATTTAGAAATGGAAAGGCCACAAGAAACCCAAAATATCAAAGGGGATAGAGACATCCTCACAAATATTTCTAGTGAAACGTGAGCAAAAGAAAGTAGTGGCATGGCAGATAAAATGCCCAGGAAACATGTGGAGAGAAAGACATTAGCTTTTTGGGGACTGGGGATTATAAAATGGGATAAATGTCAGAGTAGGCTTCAAGATGGGGTTTTGAATGCTGAAGTTGGCTGGTCAGATGGGCAAAAGAGACTTCTGAGTGTAGAGAACAAGATGAGCATGTACACAGGGCTTTGACTTGGTTCCCTTGATTAGGGGTGGGCAGGAAGTTCTGAGTCTCCAGAGCTTGCAATTGCCAGGTTGTGGCTGAATAGCAAGGTAATATAGCAGTCAACAGACCTAGACTCAAGTCAAGCTGTGCTTCTCCCTTTTCAGTGTCCTTGGCCAGGCTACTTAACCTTCTACTGTTTCTACACAATGTATATAGTAATACCTGTTCACAGCACAGGCCTCATGGAACCTTCAGTAATACTCATGATGGTAAAAACAATGAAGAGAATAACAACAAATAGCATGTATCGACTGCACACTAGATGCTGTTTTAAGTTCTCTTTTTACATATTCATTCTCTTGCCTGCTTGGTGGGGCCAGGTAATCTACTCAGAACTGTGTTCTAGCTATTATGCTACAGGGCCATGGTCAATGATTTCTATATGTAGAAAGTGCTTAGCATGATGTTCTCCAATTATTTTTATAATTAACCATTTATAACATATAATCAGAGAGCAATATTTTAACACATGTAAGAATAATGATAGCTTATATCACATTCCAGGAACCTTTCAAAAATTATTTCAGTTAACCCTGGTGACCACCCTAGGAGGCACAGAAGGCCATTGTCCCGACTTGTCCTGCCCCCTTCTGGAGACTGCTCTTAATTCATTTGCTTTGTATTCAAGTGCATCATAGTCCAGAAAAAAAAAGTTCTGAAGAATTTAATAAGAATTTTTCATGTACCCAAACTACCATTTGATCCAGCAATCCCACTCCTGGGTATCTACCCAGAGGAAAAGAAGTCATATGAAAAAGATACTTGCACACTCATGTTTATAGCAGCACAATTCACAATTGCAAAAATATGCAACCAGCCCAAATGCCCATCAATCCATGAATGGATAAAGAAATTGTAATATATATATATATGTGTGTATGTGTATGTGTGTGTGTGTGTGTGTGTGAGAGAGAGAGAGAGAGAGAGAGAGAGAGATGGAATACTATTCAGCCATAAAAATGAATGAAATAATAGCATTCACAGCAACCTGGATGGAATTGGAGACCATTATTCTAAGTGAATTAACTCAGGAATGGAAAACCAAACATCGTATGTTCTCGCACATAAGTGGGAACTAAGCTATAGGGATGCAAAAGCATAAGAATGATACAATGGACTTTGGGGACTTGGGGGAAAGGGTGGGAGGGGTGTGAGGGATAAAAGACTACAAATTGGGTTCAGTGTATACTGCTCAGGTGATGGGTATACCAAAGTCTCACAACTCACCTTACTTATATAACCAAACAACACCTTTTTCCCAAAAACCTATGGAAGTAAAAATTTTAAAAAATAAAAACATGTTCATACAAAAATTTTTTAAAACAAGAATTTATTATGTACCTGTTAATGTTTTAGAGGGCAGTGCAGGCCCCTCCTTGCTACCCCTTCTGAGGTCTGAACCAACTGAGAGACAGGTAACAAAATCAGAAAGTCAATGATCAAGACATCAGCTCCACTAAAACTGGAGCTGACTTGGGAAACACAGAGTTGGTCTGCTGTATACATGGGCTTCTTTACATTTTACTCTGAAATGAATTTACACAACCAGACACTGTATAGCCAGGCACAGGACTCTTACCCCACCCCAGCACCCTCGCAGGGTGCTTCTAAAGTGACAGAAAAGGTGTGTGTCTTACAGAAAACATACCTCAAAGCAGGCTGGGATGTGGGTGGCTGGGCTGGGCTGTGCATGCTCAACCCTACCTCCTAGATAAATAATCACTCCTCTCAAAAGAGTAACATGTAAGGGGTGGTGAGAAAGGCAAGGTATGTTTCTTCCCTCTGGAGTTTTGTTTTGTTTTTGTTTTTGTTTTTGTTTTTAACAGAGTGGGTTAGAAATGTCTTTCCCTACTTATGGCTAGCCAATTTTCCCAGCACCATTTATTAAATAGGGAATCCTTTCCCCATTTCTTGTTTTTCTGAGGTTTGTCAAAGATCAGATGGCTGTAGATGTGTGGTCGACTTATTTCCTGAGGACCGTGCTGTTTATCTCCGCATTGCGCTATATCTCGTGTTGTTCGGACCGGAGTACCAGGCTGTTTTGGGTAACTGTAGCCTGTGTATAGTTTGAGAGTCAAGGTGGCGATGCCTGCCGCTTTGTTCTTTGCTTAGAATTGTCGTTGGCAATGCAGGATCTTTGTTTGCCTTCCTATGAACTTAAAGCGAGTGTTTTCAATTCTGTGAAGGAAACGTCAGGTGGTAGCTGAGTGGATTGGGCAGCTTGAGATCTAGATAAGTTACCTTGGGCAGTATGGCCATTTTCACGGATATTGATTCGTCCCGCCGTTCGGTAGTCGCCGATGAGCATGGTAGTGGTTTGTCGCATGTTGTGATGGTGTCCTCTTTTATGTTCACGGAGCCATGTGGGTGTGTAGTTCTCCTTGAAGGCGGGGGGGCGGGGGTTAGAGCCCTGCGTGACGCCGGATTGTACATCCCTTGAAGCTTGGGATTCCTAGCATTTTATTTGGCTTTGAAGCAGTATTTGTGAAGACGGGCATTGGCTAGTCAGTAAGAGTAAATGCGAAGCTGGATCCTTTCCGTACTCCTTATATGAAAATTAATTCAAGATGGATTACAGAACGTAAGTGTAGATAGTACCATAAGAAAAAACCCTAGAATAGGAAACTAGGAAATACCAGTCAGACTGCTAGGCTCATGGGCTGAAGGCAGCTTCATGTCTAAAAGTCACTAAAGCAGATGGCAACAAAAGCCGGCAGAAATTGATGAAATGAGATTTATATTAACACTAAAGAGCTTCTTCACAGCAAAGAAACTACCATCAGAGTGAAACGCAGACACGATCCTACAGAAGATGGAGAAAGATTTGTGCAATCTGACTCGATCTCGGACAAGGGCTAAGGTATTGCAGAATCCTACGAAAGAACCTCAAGACAAATTTACCGAAGAAAAAAATAGAACAACCCCTATCGAAAGAAGTGGCGCCGGGGCCAAGGGGGATATGAACAGAATTGGTCCAAAAGAAGACGATTGGCAGGCAACAGAACACCATGAAAATGATGAGCGTCATCAGGTCGACTGGGCATCAGGGAGAAATGCAAATCAAGAACACAGTGAGATGACCGATCTCACACGGCGAGTTGAAATGGCAATGCATTAAAAAGGTCAGGACGAACAACAGAGTAGCTCTGGAGGCTGATCGAGTATGTGAGCAAAGTAGGAACACTTTGTACACTGGTGGTGGAACTATAAGACGTAAGTGTAAGACATTTATGGAAAACGAGGGTATGGCAATTGCCTCCAAGGTTGCGTAGAGACCTAGAAGGATACATGATGACCCAGCCATTCCCATTACTGGGCGTATTATCCAGTAAGATGGTTATAAATCATGTGCTACTAAAACACATGCACACGTATGTCATTGCGGCCACTAGTTCCACAATAGGCAAAGACTTTAGGAATGCAACCAAGTGTCCATCGAGTAAGCCAGAGGCTGGGATTAAGGAAGAATGTGGCACATATGACACCGCATGGAACTCTATGGCAGCCATAAAAAAGGAGAGTTTGGTGTCCGGTTTGTAGGGACTATGGAGGGCGCTTAGAAAACTCATTGAATTCTGCAGCCAACCTACTTGCGTGAAGAAACAGACAACCAAAAACGCATGTTCTCGACTCATTAGGTGGAACCTGAACCAATGATGTATCATCGCCATGGACTCGGCAAGAGGAACATCACACACCGGGGCCTATCATGGGGAGGGGGGAGGGGGGAGGGATTGCATTGGGAGTTATACCTGATGTAAAGGACAAGTTGATGGGTGCAGCACACCAACATGGCACAAGTATACATATGTAACAAACCTGCACATTATGCACATGTATCCTAGAACTTAAAGTATAAAAAAAAAAAAAAAGAAATGTCTTTCCCTTAGTAAAAGCAATAACAATAATACTACCATTTTATTGAATGCTTAACATGTGTCAGACATTTTACTTGAGATTCTATCTACATTAAATCATGTAAAAGTTCTAACAACTCTGTGAGGTAGAAACACTCATTCCCACGTTGTGGGTGGGAACATTGAGACTCAGATAAGTGAAATCACTTGTGTAAAGTCAAGCAACCATTAAGTAGAGATCTCAGGTTAAACTCTGATCTGCGTGAGTCCCAATGCTCTGTTCTGTAAGCAGCATGTACCTGTAGTTTGGTGCCTTCAGGGAGAGGGACAATCAGAGAAATGTGGAAACTTAACTGCTGTTTATAAGAGATTTACAATATACTTATTCCAGGGAATGGCATGCTTTTTCTATAAGGGACAAGATAGTAAGTATTTTAGGCTTTGCAGGAGGTAAGATCTCTATTGCAACTACTCAACATTGCCATTTTAAAGCAGCCACAAATAATATGCAAACAAATGAGTTAGCCTGTTTTCCAATAAAACTTTATAGAAATTAAAGTTTGAATTCTATGTAATATCATATGTTATAAAATTTTTGTCTTGTTTTAACCACTTAAAAATGTAAAAGCCATTCTTAGTTTGTAGGTCATAAAAACCAGGCAGCGGGACCAGGTTTGACCCATGGGCCATAGTTTGCCAACCCCAGGTCTAGTCAGTGGGAGAAACCAATAAATGCAAATAAGCCAGTCACAAGGAAAAATATGAATTCTACCATAGGGAAACAAAGACCCAGAGAGGGCAGATGTGGAAATAATAATTCATTTTGAAGTTGGTTAAGGGGAAAGCCTGAAAGAAACAAAACAGGAACCTGAGTCAACGAGGCTGGCTTGATTTCACAAGTGTGCGTATTTCCTGAAATAAGCAACAGTCTATCATTTCCCTTAAAAAGTAAGCTGTAAATGAGAGGTGGGAAAAGAAATCAGTTTAGAGCAATAATAAGAAAGGCTAATGGTGGTTCAGGACTGTATTACAGCAGCCTAATTAAAATGATTTATAACTGCACAGAAAGTCTTTTCACTTCCCCTTGTTTATTGAGTAACAACTCACATCAGTCATTGCTCCAGATACAACCCATGGGAAATTACCTAATGGGTTTTGCTCAGGCAACATCATCAAACAAGCATGTGTCACTGTACCAGCCCCCTTCTTTGTGGGGTGCCCAGGATATCTTCCAAGTTAGAGCTGAAGGATGTTGGTGAGGGAGGAGGTTCTCAAGGTTTGGACACCCATTGGCAGTGACAGGATCTTCTAATCTTTGTTCTTGTTGAGGTGACTTCCTCCCACAGCCTCCCCATCCCTGGCTGAGAACAGGGACCATCATGGGCTGCTGATTAGCAACCAGCAAAGGTAACCGTCTCCACGACTTCCAGAAGACATCCTGGTGTTGCTGTAGCTGTGGGTAAAGCTCCAGTTCAGAGCAACCCAGAAGGCTTAAAAAGCATGCATTAAGAGTGTGGAGGCTCGCTGAGGGAAGAAAGAACTAGAAGGAACTAGTTTGACTACAGGGCTCAAGATGCTTGAGTACATCTCTGGCTTCCTTAAAATAGGGAAAAGCCAGTATTTGGACTGTTTCGTGGGACCTCTAAAGGATTTCTTCTCTTTTGGTGGTGGAAGAGGTGATGACCATCTCCTGTACTTAAAATCCTCCGGTTTGGACCCTGGCCAGAGTAGACTCCCCTGCTCCTCAATTCTTCCAGCCAGTCTGTTTTAGTCTGTTTTCACAGTGCTGATAAAGACATACCCAAGACTGGGTCATTTATAAAGAAAAAGAGGCTTAATGGACTCACAGGTCCATGTGGCTGGGGAGGCTTCACAATCATGGTGGAAAGTGAAAGGCACGTCTTACATGGTGGTGGCAAGAAAGAATGAGAACCAAGCAAAAGGGGTTTTCCCTTATAAAGCCATCAGATCTCGTGAGACTTATTCATTACCACAAGAACAGTATGGGGTAAATGCCCCCATGATTCAAGTATCTTCCACTGGGTTCCTCCCACAACACATGGGAATTATGGGAGGTACAATTAAAGATTAGATTTTGGTGGGGCCACAGCCAAACCATATCACAGTCCATCCCATTTCAGAATTAAGAATGAGAGGGAACCTGGAAAATCTATTGACTTCTAGCTTAGCTTAGTATTTGTCAAATTCCATTGAAAGTATGTGGTTTGTAGAATATATCACAGCCCCAAATGGTCATGAATCATCCTTAGATAATCATTTCTTTATAAATTCATAGGCCAAAGGCATTTAGAAATGGAAACAGTAAACAGAAGTCTGAAATCTAAAACTTGAGCTTCATAGAGAAGTTGCAAATACTATAGCTGAGGGCCTGGTAGTTTTGCTGCAAGAGGGAGATCCAGGTGCAAGGTTGGGGCAGATGTGAGTTCAGGGTGGGGTACGAAACGTGTGAGTCGGCAGTCCATACCCCTTGACATAGATGGAATGGCCTGTGTCTGTGCAACTGGCTGCAGGAACCTCAAGAAAAAAACTCAAATTTGGAAAACATCCTCAATCATTTGGTAAGTGGTTTATTCAGCAAATTTAACAAATAGGACATTTAGCAAATGAATCTTTGATGAAGCTGTCTACTTTCAATGATAGTACCTTCATAATGGAGCTATTAGAAGATTTAATAAAATGATGCATGCAAAGCATTTAGCACACTGCCTGGCACAAATAAAGTAAACAAGAGTAAATCCTGTCCCTCATACACATTCCTTGGAGGCCCAGCTCACTCCAATTATTATTAGGATCTTTTGACTTCAGTAAGTACCAGTATTTGAGTGAGAATGTATTCTTGGTTTTATCCAGGCTAAAAAGAAAGCTTCCATTATTAAGACTGGTACGAAGATATCCAACACTTGAAAATGAGGCTGGGGGAAGAGGTCCCCGACCTTTCTATGTCATACTGGCATATTGTTGAACACACATGCCCAGGGATTATTAAATTATTTTAGATAGGGATGCAGCACTGTTTTAGTGTAAAGGACCAAATAGAAAATATTTCTGGCTTTGCCTGTCTCTTGGCAACTATTCAGTTCAGCTATTGCAGCATGAGAGCAGCCAAAGACAATATGTAAATGAATAAGTGTGGCCATATTTCAGGAAAACTTTATTTGCCATAATCGGTGGTGGGCACCATTGACCCAGGGGCCTTAATTTGCTGACTGATGCTCTTGAAGAACATGACTGTGTTTAACTTTATTTACTATTTGATTCAAGCCTAGGTACTGTGAAGTTATATGCTAATTTATAGATTTTTGACTGAGAGAGAAGATAACCCCAAAAGTTATGGTTTTATTGCCCTATAGGATATAACCAGTTTTGTCTCTAACCTAGCAAATGTATTTTCACACGTTTCTAAAATACTCATCAATACCCAGCTCCAGTATTCTTGGAACCTTCTTACTATTCCCTCATAAGTGGGTTAAATACATTTTTGACACATGTTCTTTCTAAGGATAGCGTTTTACAACTTTTACAAACATACACTTTGACAAGATCTTTTATTAAAATACCATTTGTAGCTCTGTTGTAGAATAATAACAACTGTATTGAGTGATATGCCTTCTAATTTATCCAATATGCCTATAAGATAGGTGTTAACATACCCATTTTGCAGATAAGAAAACTGAAGCACAGAGAAGTTAAATAGCTATTAATTGGTAGAACTTACAGTTAGCTCGGGTTTCTCCTCACTCCACAGCCTAACAGTAAATTTTAACTGCTTCTGTTAGAAGATAAACACATAACTACAACTCTGTTTAACAAGAACTTTCAGTCTCAATTTCTGCATCACGATCCAATTTCCAGGACCTAACGTGATTACAAAAGATATTTACACTCAGACACATACACTCTCGTGACTATAAAATTATGCTGTACTTTTTAAAACCTTGACAGGTTTAAAGATGCTTATAACACCCCCCTCAGCTGTATACATGTACTGTTTGTCATGTTTATTACTTTCAGGTGACTTGAAAGATGGTAAAAATAAGACAGACAAGAAGGATCACTCTAACATCGGAAATGATTCAAAGAAAACAGATGGTAAGCGTATTATTCTCATTACATCTTTCCATAAAATGTGCAGTTTAATGTAAGCTTGTTAGAATCATACCCAAAATTGAAATAGTGGTTGTGAATGTATTCTTATATCCTGAAAAAACCCTTCACTATATTTAAAGGGTACTATTATACCTTTATCAATAATTTATAAATTATTGCTGTATATCTTCCCCTTCACCACACTTTCTCCATCACAAATGTTTTCTATACTCTTTCTTTTCCTACTTGCCATTTTTCATCTTAAACATTATAAAAAGTTTATTTTGGACTTGCTGATCAGACAGCTAGAATGGAGTATCATATACTGTTAATGTATTTATAAGTTTTTGATGGGGAATTATGCAGCATAAATAAGAAATGTTTCGGCCGGGCGCGGTGGCTCAAGCCTGTAATCCCAGCACTTTGGGAGGCCGAGACGGGCGGATCACGAGGTCAGGAGATCGAGACCATCCTGGCGAACACCGTGAAACCCCGTCTCTACTAAAAATACAAAAAACTAGCCGGGCGAGGTGGCGGGCGCCTGTAGTCCCAGCTACTCGGGAGGCTGAGGCAGGAGAATGGCGTGAACCTGGGAGGCGGAGCTTGCAGTGAGCTGAGATCCGGCCACTGCACTCCAGCCCGGGTGACAGAGCGAGACTCCGTCTCAAAAAAAAAAAAAAAAAAAAAGAAATGTTTCATGTTTTATGTTTTCACTTTTTTCCCTTGTACTAGTTCTTATTTTTACTTAAAACAAAAACAAAAACGGGTCTGTATAGTGCTAATGTTGGGAGGCAGTATATATGGTTGTAAAAGACAGTTTTGCCAGCAAGAACAAGTCCTAAAGGCAATGACAATGCAAAACGCAAGCATAAATAACATTTCACTCTTTCTAAAACCTTAAAGTTCAAATTATATTACCTTTCACACTTTGAACTATAAGATTGAGACACCTGCCCTGGCCTTTTACATAAACTTCATTGTTTCAGCTATCACACAGGTTCATTACTATTTATCCCCTCATACACAGACATTATATTAAGCAAAAAATGAAAGTTTCCAGAGTGGTTTTTGATAGCATCCCAGACTCTCTAAATCTTACCTCCCTGGAGACATCCTATTTGATGCTAAACTCTTCTTTGAATCATTTGGTTAGAATACCTTTGAAGAACAAATGCTGGGTAACCAGGTGGAAGAGTAAGAAGAAATTGGAGCATAACTCTTTGCACATCTATTATAAAGGAAGCAGTCCCTTTAGCTTTCTGCCCTAAGCCATTATGACATGCTGTTTTTGCTTGCATGCATGAAAACAGTTCTCAAACTTTTTCTAAAAAGACAATGCAAATAATTAACTCCAGGTGTCTTATTACATAATACCTGGGAACACATACTTGCAATTTTTTTTTTTACCAATGTGCTTATGCAAATGGAAATCACTTATCTAATGAGTGTACCCTTCTTGAATAATTGTGACTAAGAAGTAAATTACACAGAATAAAATAGAATTTAGAATGGCAGTCTTTGAGCCAGACTCTATTATAGGTAAGTACAGACTCTATTTGTTTAAATACCAGAAGCTCTTTGCCAGCCATCAATACTAAATCAAGGCATCCAAAGCCAGAAAATGTACGGTGGAGGAACGGTGTCAACTTCAAACCCAGAACCCAGACACTTTCTCCATCCTGTATCCAACTATTGGCGCACAGCTTCCTGTTAAATTTCTATAGCATAAAAGCCCAGAATAAATCAAGTCCCAAATTTTTCATATGCAATTTTGAATCTTGTTACATTTATACATTGTGGTACAAACATCTACTATAATGATGTCATATGGGCGTTGTGGATTACATTTTATCATCTTCATAAAGCCTTTTTAACTGTGCCCTTTTTAACTGAATCATACTCAAGTATTTAAAAGAATTAAACTGTTTTTTTGGGGGGGAAGGGGGGGAAGTGATGAAATATATTTTATGTTCTATTGTGCAAATAAGTGTAAAGTTTGACTGTTTAATGAGCAGGATTCTTGATCTCATGGGGCAGTAAGCAGACTGCAATAAATAAAAGAGACATTTTTTAATGTCTATCTCTGTTTCCTCCATAGCCTGTTCTTCCACTTCCTCAAGTAGGTCCTGGTATGTCTGTATACTTGGAAGTTTGCACACAAACATAATCATGAACAACTTTGCATTTTATATTCATTGATGGACTAATATGACATAATTACTGCTTTGGTATCAATAGAACTTAGAGCACTGGGTTTCACTGAGTTGCACTATTTTAGTCCAAAACCTTTAACAGGACTAAAGCTAATTCTTGGTGGCAGGAAGTAGAAAACAGTTGATAAGTCCCACCTACCCTTTTCTTTTTGGTCATTAAAGCTCTCTACCTCAGAAAAATTTAAAAAGGAAATATGTAGATCAGTAGATATATTGATTGTTTTTTAAACTATGTGGAAACAACCAGATACATTTTTGAACATTTCTTTTTGGATCCTATGATGTCTGATAATGAGTGGGAGTCAATTTAACAATTTTTAATGTCCCTACCCCTAGACCAATCCGTGGGAACTACTGGTGACTAGTTCTCTTTAATATTTGAGAGGGAGTATCTGGGTACAATTCATGCCCAGTGTGAACATTGAGAGAGAAACCCAGTGGAAACTGGATCACAATTGGTTATTCCCAAACTCCCATGAGCCAGGGCGTGCACAGAGGAAAGCAGTATGTGCTGAAAGGTAAATTACATCCTGGCATAATGAACACATTGCAGCTGTACATTATCTCTGTAAGTCTACTGCAGTACTATTTAGTACCTTGCAGCAGTAATTTTCTAACTGACTTCAAAGAATGGATGTCCTTTGAAAGTACCTTACTTACCCCTAGGGAGAAATGTATTGACATAAAAAGATCTAGGTCTCTGAGCCAAGATTCTAATCATGCTTAAACTTTTCCATTGGCATTGGAAGACGTGGGGTGCCACACAAATGTATTCTTTTCAGTGCATTTTTAGCCATGTTTGTAATAGCGTAACCTCATGGAGTTGCTATAATTTAGTATAGCTATACTGAAATACAAACTTGCCCTTAACTTTACTTGATCACATTAACAGAGAAATAAAAGATAGCCATCTTTTGTGCCTCTCAAACAACAGATAATGATTAGGCCCTGCGTGGTTATGAACCAGGTCTTAGGGAGGGAATTCAGCAGGAGTTTCTCCTTTATTGAATATTCTGGAAACTGGAATGTTTATGGATGGTCTCATGAAACTGAAAAGTGAGTTATGAAGAATGGAAAGGGTTGTCAAAAGACAGTCTATGAATGTCTGCTTTTGCCAGAGAAGTAACAAGAACTGGATTTACCCTTCCACCTGAAACAACCTAAAACCCCAGACAACATATGTGGAAGAGTGCTTTTTAAGATAACAGACATCAGGAAATGGAGAACAGTGATCTTTGAGAGCCAGGAAATAAATGAAATGAGCCCTACAATTGTCTCAGCTTACTGCCTTGAGAGGACTTCCAGGCAGCATAGAGAGGAGTGACATAGGCACATCTCATTGACTCTCTGAGTTGAGAATTTGGATAAAAATCCAGGGAGACCAAGATGGCTTTAGTTAACAGAATAAAATACTGGAGAGAAGAGGATTACAGAGAGTTAAACTCCAGAGATCTGAAAAATGTAAGAGTACAGTACTACTAAGGTTTCACTTTCTGTGGTTTCAATTACCCATAGCCAACTGTGGTCTGAAAATATTAAGTGGAAAATTCCAGAAATCAACAATTATAAGTTTTAAATTGCACACCATTTTGAGAATGTGGTGAAATCTCATGCCATCCTGCTTGTATTAGTCCGTTCTCAGGCTGCTAATAAAGACATACTCCAAAGCAGGTAATTTATAAAGGAAAGAGAAGTTTAATGGACTCATGTGGTTCCACATGGTTGAGGAGGCCTCACAGTCATGGTGGAAGGCAAAGGAGGAGCAAAGACACATCTTACATGGTGGCAGACAAGAAAGCGTGTGCAGGGGAACTGCCCATTATAAAATCATTATATCTCGTAAGACTTATTTACTATCATGAGAAAAACTCACCCCTATAATGCAATTACCTCCCAACGGGTCCCTCCCATGACACGTGGGAGTTATGGGAGCTCTGATTCAAAATGAGATTTGGGTGGGAACACAGGCAACCATATCACTGCTCTATTCCACCTAGGATGTGAATAATCTCTTTGGCCAGCATTATCCACACTCTACTGGCTGTACTTGCCACCCTGCTGTCACTTAGTAGCTGTCTTGTTTATCAGATTGACTGTTGAAGTATCACAGTGCTTGCAATTAAGTACCTTTATATTACTTAACAATGGCTCCAAAGCATAAAAATGGAGATTTTGGCAATTCAGATATGCCAAAGAGAAACCACAAAGTACTTCCTTTAAGTAAAAAGATGAAAGTTCTTGACTTAATAAGGAAAGAAAAAAAAATTTATGCTGAGGCTGTTAAGATCTATGCTAAGAATGAAATATTCTATCAGTGAAATTGTGAAGAAGAAAAAAGAAATGTATCTGTAATACATATAGGGTTCAGTACTATCTGAGGTTTTAGGTATCCACTGGGAGTCTTAGAAAATATCCTCTGTGTGTAAAGGGAAACTACTACACTGAGCAACCATGCAATGAGGAAACTACCTGAGGCCAGAACAGAACCATCCAAGAGGATTAGAGGGAATAGTCCTGATGTTCACAGAAGTCAGGGAAAAGTGTCTGTTCCCACTAGCCAGATTTAAATATTCATTATTTAAAGAAAATTAGGTAAAAGACTCATATTTGTCTTGCTTTAGTCATGGGGAATAATTAGCTGTAGCCTATATGCTGCTCTGGTTCTATCAATCTTAAAAGCAAGACATAAAAGGGATCAAAGTGTCTCCAAGTAATTTAACTGCATCCCAGAATAAAACTCAAGGATATATATAGAGAGTACAAAAATATCGAGCACCCAACAAGGTGAAA